TAACAGTATAAAAATAAAACAAAATATACTGATAGATGATGCCATGTTGTCACAAGGCAAAAAAAATAGTATAAGCAGGGATCAACGAAATGATAAGTATAGTACTCAGTAACAAATCTTAATGTATAACGATTTATTTGCCTGTACTTGCCCCCTTTTGTGGTCATCACCATGCAGACTATAAAAAAGTAGTGCTTGCGCACTATTAGTATACCCATCTCCTTCCCAATCATGTTGGCTTGTCTTGGTCTTCGAAGAACATTTCATGTACAAAGAAAAGGTATTTTTGTCTCATTTCTCTTTATCTATTACATGAATTTATACAAGTCTATCGAACCATGCATAATTAAAAACTATGTAAATACTTTTTGAATAATATATAATAATTAGCTCTACTGGTCAGAGACCAGAAGAGCTTATGCGATACAACATTTATAAGGAGCATAAGACAAGAAAAGTTTAAAGAAGGGTCGAAAATTTTAGCTTGATACGTTGATAATTTTCCAAATTAGCATTAAATACAACAGACATTGTACGATCACCCGGCGCAATCGCCGTTGAATCAATGCATAATATTGTAAATAGATGTATACGTAGGGAAAGATCTTCACTTGATTACGTCATCGTAATTTGATTGACTGAGTTCAATGTCTACCGCACATGAGCAACGTTACTAATCGACGTGACTGAGTTTGGAAACCCACACTACAAATTGACATTGTGTGCATCTCTCCTCTATCTGAATCTTCTTTGGCATTTAAAAAAGGGTACTCTGGATCCATTTTATTTCTCTGTAGCCTGTTTAGACAATTCCTAGTACGTTAATGTCAGTTTTTCCAGGGGTGAAACTTTATAGATTGTGGGAAAAGACACCCGTCCCACCTTCTGACGTCATTTTAACTCCTTAATTGTTTGGGTAGTCCATATAAAATTTACGATAAGATTCATAACACTAATAGAATGAGGTAAAAATTGCAAATTTTACAGCACAATTATGTCATACCACATAAGTGAATTAACTTGATTATTGGATGACAAATGCTCATATCGAAAGACTTCTCCTTTAGACTCAAGTAGGAAACACGTCGTTTTTTGAGTTAGCGCAACCTGGCCATACAATTGCTTACAAAAACATAAATAATATATTTCAAAAATAAATCCATGATTTACAGTTTATTTGAAACTTTGATGTACCTTAAGCGGAAAATTTGATGTTCCTTAAGCGGTTTTAAGTTTATGGCTCTAGTCCACGAATTTTTTGATAAATCGTAGTATATAAGTATCGATTAATTGAACATATTACTAGTATTTTCAAGAAAAGCTACTTATTGCAAAATTTGCATCAAATATACATGTTTTAATATGCTTTTTTCATATATTATAAGCAGGGTTATTAAAGTTGAGAAGGGAATATATTCTTTTTTAAAGTACACAAATCAAATATTTCCTATTTCCCTGTTGCTAAAAATGTTCCCTATATTTAAGTATGTAAGAAATAACTTTGGCACTTCAGAAACATGGTTTTGTCGTCAGGCTTCAGAAATAAAAACAGGAAAAGATTTACAGTAATTAAATATTGTTCTTTCATTCTAGTTAGATTTTCTTCCTTGTTCACAAAGAAGGAAGCTGACAAATAATGAATTTAAAAATTTTATCTTAATTTAGAGAATGACGTGTTACTTTGAAGATAAAAATAAATCGGTTAAATGTGTTTTTACTTTTGTCTGACGTTTGTTCATCCGGTTTTTTTTTTGTTTGTTTGTTTTGTGTGTGTATGTGTGTGTGTGTGTGTGTGTGTGTGTGATTGCGTCTAGTCTTCCAAATTTTGAAAAAATTGTTCTCATAAACTTTGGAAAAATATAAAAGAGCAAACACTGTGGCTATTATTATACTAAAGTAGGCGAGATCATTGACCTGTCTATTTTACTGCTTTGTTTAATTATCAAAAGTTTACGCTCCTTCGGATGAGACCGTATAAATTGAGGTCCCGTGTCGCAGTAGGTGCTGGCACGAAAAAGATCCCCCACTGCTCAATTTCCCTAAGTGCCTAGTATAGGTCTTATTTGCAGCTGGCAAGTGAAACGTCTCAATATGGGTGAAAAATTCTCAAAAGGGACGTTAAACAAAAAGCAAACAATACTGTAGTTATTAAAAGGTAGACAGCGCTGCAACTTCGAGACGAGTTGAAACTCTAGTGCCTTTCATATTGACAGTGCATCGTTTTGCATACAATCTGGAAAGTTCTTTAAGGTTCAGCATCATCCCTCTGTTCACTCATATAAAATCTTTTCCTAAGGCTAATGATCATCCAAAAGAAAACTAATTTACGAGGGTTGTCCCAAAATTCCGTAAACTGAGTTCATATCTATTGTAGAAATCAAGGTATCTTCATATAATTCTGTGGGTGTATAAGGCGTGTTTTTAGCTGATAAATTACGAAGTTTTAACATCATTACTTGAGAAACGTACGTTTAATTGGAATTTTAATGTTACCGTGTCCTACCACCCGGCGCAATCTTCGACGTCAAAAAATACGTAAACGTCACCGGTACGAATTTTTGGGGGGAAATGCATTAATTATCAGAATCACATTTTTTACTTTAACATAAAGATTTGTGAAATAAACATGAAATATTACAATTGTTATGATGTACTTAACATTAAAATATACGCCAAAAAGTTTAAATTGCATGCATCTTTTAATAATTGGCACTTACGGCCATTGAGCAGTGAGGGGTCTTTTTCGTGCCAGCACCTACTGCAACACGGGGCCTCGGTTTATACGGTCTCATCCGAAGGACCGGTCTCCACGTCCCACAATGGGATTTGAACCCGCGACGTAAGGATCAACTCCTTACTTCGCGGCTCTAGAGCAGACGCTCTAACCACTGCGCCACGCGGGCGACTTTTCTCATGTAGAAGTTTTTGAATAAATTCTGCTTCATATGAATACAAAAATAGGTCTGCTAACAACGGGGCGCAATTGGTAGCCATGGGAATTCTAACAGATTGTTGGAAGACCTGATCTCCAAAAAGTACATAGATATTGTCAATCAGAAACTCAAGCATCTTTTTAATATCAACTTCAGAATACTTGTGTGTATTATCAGAATGTTTTTTAACAAAATAATTTTGCAAATGACCAATGACAAGGTAAGTATATTTACTAGTTTCCATTTTTATTGAAAAAGCAGCTGTCTATGATGCCAAAAAGCCTGGACTCCAATTTATTGTGGGGATTGGTTGTATAAAGTGTTGAAAAAAACGTACGTTTTGATGTTATTGATTTTAGAAAATTTTGTGATTTTAAATTGTCTAAAAGTTCCTTGGAGTTTTTAAGTATCCATATTTGCTTTACACCACTTCTCGAATATACTGTTGTACAGTATTCCTGAAGTTTCTCCTTCATTACAATAAATATTTTAGTGAGGAGTAAAAAAAGAGACTTGGTAGAATATTCACTGGAACCTGCTATGTATCTTTGTAAGGATTTAAAGTATTATCACTCAAAATCAAATGAGATTTAAATTACTTGTTGATTAATGATGAGTTTAGATCTTAGATAACAATACTTGAAAACACGTTCGAAAAATTACTTAAAATCACGTCAAATGTTTACCCTGCGTTTCTTTTTCCTTTCGGTATATTATCAAATAACGGATTTCTAAGAAGCTGATGATGTTCCGATTACGTGTCTGACCCGAATCGAAAAAAAATATGTAAAAATATTAATTTAAGAATTACATGCACATGACTGTCATTCGTTCATTTCTTTTTATATATAATCTATAAATGAGAAAAAGAAAATGTTTAACCTGTTAATTTGTATCGATTAAAATAAAAACAATTCAATTCCATGATTCTAAATAATTTTTTTCTCATAAAATAAATTATCTTATTGTAGAACTAGCTAGGAATTCCGAGGTCTGTTATAATACTTTACCGTTAAATTTAAACCCATGTTTTATTGCAATCCACAAACCCGGAGACAGTAGTATAAACGATAACATGTCAAATTGTAAAATAATATTAAATTTTTATATGAAGTAGTTTATATTTTTTATTATGCTAATCATCGTTTTTTATCATGCAAGTGTGTATTTTTATTTATTTATTTTTATTATTTTTTTTTTGTCTATTTGTGTTTTATTATCTTAGCATAATTAATGTTAGTTTATTTTTTTGTTTACTTTCGTTTAGTAATTTCACTCATTATTACGTTACTTGTACCTTTGAATATCTTCTGGGACAAACTTGGGAATAAATTCATTATAATGAATTTAATTAATTAATTATTTATTTATTTAATTATTTAATTATGAATTATAATGGATTTAAAATTGCACTTTGTCTCATTTCAAGTACAGAGGTTTACAAAGTTTTCTAAAGTTGAAAGTGTCAATTCGGGATAGTAAAGATTAAGAACCGAGTCGGATACTGAGTATTAAGAGAATTCTATTGACTTCCTTATTTCTAGGTTGTAATAAGATTGACAAATAGAGAAGGAAAGCTGAGGTTTACGCTTATTAATAAATTTAGTGTAAGTTAGAGAGCGCGGATTAAAGATATTAGATATAGGAGACAGTGGTGAGTGATAGCACTTAGTAATTTAAGGTTATTGATTAAAGAGAGATAACTTAAGTAAGAATTTAAGGGCATTAAATTTTAAACGTCTCCATATGAGTGAAAAATTCTCGAGAGGGACGTTAAACAATAAACAAACAAACAAAAAATTTTAAACCAACGTGCCACCCAAGTCCTTCTTAGCTCAGTTTAGCCGTGTGACGCAAGCAAGCCTTGCCACGAAAGATAAGACAACCCCTAGAGAGTCTCAGAGAGAAAGTAGAGACCCGTTGCAATATCATATCAATGACAAATAGGCATATTACACTTTTAATAATATTAATACTTAATCAAATGTAATCAAGAGTTTCGACATGCATCAAAAGTCCATTATATTCGTAGCAAGTGTAATTGATAAAAATTAATAAGCAATAAAATATTAAAAATACCTATATTTTTCCATGAATACCTTTCATAGAAACATGTAAATAACGAGATGTATGTCATATAATAATTCTTTAAAATAAATTTTAAACTAACAATAATACAAGTATATATATTACATTTTAAACAGTGTTTGATATCATTTTGAAATGGTTTAAATAACACACACGTTTTCAATGTCAAATCAACAGCTGGTCTTGTTTTCACAAAATCTTTTAAAACATTTTTCTTGATCTCGCAGTTGAGCATGACAACAGAATGCACACATTCCTTTGGCAATAAAGGATACCAGATCAGCGGCTCCTTTGAATGTCTCTTTTATTGTTTCGTTTTTTCTTGGTCTATGTGTGACACCATCCAATACATTTTTCGTGGCAATTCCTGAAAATAAATACAAATAAATTACCTGTATGCACCTTGACTGGCATATTAAAAGAATACATAGCTCTTTAAGAATGTAAATTGTTTTATTCATCAATATTTCCAAAGTCAAGTAACAAGTTGATAACATTTGTTTTAGTTTTTGAAGACCCGAATGGCTGACATATTGGATCGTATTTCATTACATTTTAATAACTATTCATGACTTTGTAAATAGTGTAAATATTTATTATTCTAAAACTTTTCATCATTCTTCGTAATTATTGTCCCCGTTGTCAGACACCTCAGTATGCAAGAATACAGGTAGCTATTTATCAAATGTAAAACTTCTTTTCTTTATTTTAAGAGTTTAAGAATATGTTGTTCTTAAGAATCAAAACCAAAGAAATATTGATTGAAAACAAATTGTATTTTCAATGAAGAATTCATCAGTGTATACAGTGTAATATGGATTGTAACGATAATCCATATTAGCATGCTAGCATCAATCTTAAGATTTGTGTAAACTGATTCAGAAATGTGAACACATGTACAGTGCATAGATTTTTCTACAAATAATACAAACTGCAAGTTATTGTATTTTTTCTAGTAAGAAAAAGCATATTGTTATTCAACAATATCTAAAAGCTTAACACTATTCAAAGTATATATTACTACTGAAGTGAACAAGATGTGTTTGTGAAAAAATGATGCCCCCGTATGGCACTTATAGGGAAGGTTAAACTTTCTCAAATGCAAATCAAGTATGTTGGTGCCCATAGTAATGTCTTGTCTCGAAGAATATACCTGTGAAATATGAAAAGCCCTAGCAGCAACCATTGGAAAAAATATGAAAAAGGTTAAAGTTTTTTCAAAAGTAGATCAAACTTCAAGGTTATGGTCAAAATTAATGGTGCCAAAGGAAAGGCCTTCTCACAAGAAATGCACTTGTGAAATATGAAAGTCCAAGCACCAACCATTCAACAGTTATGGCCAAGGTTAAAGTTTTTCAAAAGTAGGTCAAATCCCAAGGTCAAAAGGTCAAAGTCGTTGGTATCCAAAGTAAGGTCTTGTCACAAGGATTACATATGTGAAGTATTAAAGCCCTAGCACCAACTGTTTAAAAGTTATGGCCAAGGTGAAAGCTTTACAAAAGTAGGTCAGACTCCAAGGTCAAAAAGTCAAAGTTGTTGGTATCTAAAGTAAGGTCTTGTCACAAGGACTACATATGTGAAGTATGAAAGCCCAAGAACCAATTGTTCAAAAGTTATGGCTAAGGTTAATGTTTGGTAAAATTTGCAAAACTGGGTCAAACTCCAAGGTCAAAAGTTCAAATATGATGGTACCCAAAGAAAGGTCTTTTCACAAGAAGTACAGATGTGAAATATGAAAGTCATAGCTCTAACCACTGAAAAGTTGTGGACAAGGTTAAAGTTTTTGCGGATAAACAGACACAGACAGACAGACGAACGGACGGACAGGGCAAAAACTATATTACCCCGAATCTTCGATTACGGGGGCATAAAAAGATTTTTTTTAAAATTCAAAAAGAAAAAAGGTTAGTCATTTATCATCGTCTGTATCTGGTACTTGGTAAATAACGTCTTTAGTAATGAATGGAGGGAGTCCAAGAGTTGACATTATACGTATTTTTCTCTCTCTTTGATTTAATTCGTAAATAAAGATTATATTTAAACCAAACGTAATGTAATTTTCTGAAAGAGATTCTACTATGATTAAAATTAACTAATTCATACAGATAAAGGTATTGCACTGAAAGCAAAGACAAATGTAGAAGCAATATTATTTGTTATGTAATGGATATATGCCGAATACAGTTCTGTATGAAAAAATATCAGATAGTTTGAGGCCCGTTAGGACCGAAAACTGTCTGATATTTTTTCATACAGAATTGTATTCGGCATATATCGTACTTAAAACATTGCTTTTTGATTTACCTGAGAGAGTCCGATATTTTAACAAAGAACAAAAGTTTTAATGACCATTGAAACAATTCTTTCCAGAATGCATGCTTAATGAAAACTACTCAGTTTTTTATAATCAACTGATCAATTAAGGATATTTGAAGTAATATATATTATGTAATTGTTTGGATTAGAGAGTAGAGGTAAAATAGCCTTACGAATATGCACTGGATTATGATACAGTCTAGTGAATGATATTTTTGAGAATGAAAGGAAAATGCAGACTGGAACTTCGATTTGAACTGAACAAACAGAAAATAAAGCTGATGCTGAAGGTACATGTATATTTATTTCTAAGTACAGGCATTGAGAATATCTTCATAAAGGATTGCATGTGTAATGGATAATTTTTTTTGTTACTAGTAGAATTCTTCTATCATTAAAATGACCACCCAACTCTACTTTATACTCTGCTTTATACAAACCCAGAATAAGAGAATTTCTGAATTTTTATGAAAATGAAAACATCACTTAAAGTCTAACAAGTTTATTACAAGTTCGGAGAGCTCGTGTTTTATTTTATACATGTAGTTTATTGGTATTATTTTAGTATATTCTTTTAATTGGAAGTATTTTTTTTTTTAAATTCCAATTCTGTATGATCAGTTAATAATATTCTGTTTTAAAATAATTATGTACACATTAAGATCAAACATTGTTGTTTGCTAAATAATCACATTTTCAATTCTTTTGTCCAGTAACAGTCCGATTTTGAAGGATATCGGTACTGAGACAGTCTGATATTACGATTATATCAGACTGCTCACTAATATCAGACTGCCAAAGGTAAACTTTTAGACTACAAGAACAAAGGAATGACATCAAAGCAATGTTTTCAAAAGATAGATATGGGTTAATATGGAAATATATTGGGTCCTTGAAAAATGCATATAGGGCAAGTCATTCAATTCCTTGAGAGGTCAAGTGAAAACCACATAGAGAATTATACATTTAGTCAGTAGACACATTGAGGGAGTATTGTGATGTGATATCTATAGTCACTTAAATGAAAATTCTTTTATAAAATTCAATGACAACGATCGATATTTTTCATAATATTAGGTCAAACATCTACGTTTGTAAACATGGGCACGAGCTCTGTTATTGTAAATGTTTACGTTTTACCGTTTTTTTTTCAGTTTGTTAACTCTGCTCACATCACTCAATACTGGTGTTTTGGTTTTGCTTTCTCAAATTTCTAGTTTGATTTTTTTTTCTTGATTATGGTTTAAAACTTTTTCATTTATATACGACAAATTTTCTACCTGTCTTGAATATTGAGCATGTACCTAGCATGCGTGTTGTTTGCTTGTTCCATTCCTACAGTTGATAACTGTCAAATTTTTACACGAGTGTTTTATCTGTGTATCATAAGTTTTGAATTTTCATTTGCATATGATTTGCATCTGCAACTTTTTTAGGAAACGTACACGTCACACTGTTTACTTGCATTATGCTTATTTCTGTTTTTGTTTTTAAAGTTTTCGTTTTGTTTTGTTTTTGTCCCCAGATACTGCACTTCGGGGAATGTGTAGAATGTGTACGATTCGACAACCAAACATGAATAACTCAAGTGTAACGAGCATATTTGGGTTTATTTATCGTTACAATATTACAAGGTATCTGAAAGAAATATCGGAATACGATGAGTTGGTATGAAACAGGTAAGTACATTGATGAAAAATTGCTTATTTTAAAATTCATATCAGTTTTAAATTGACTACAGATTTCTCTTTTTTTCCGATGATGACAAAATGTACTCAGTGTGTTTGACCGGTTGACATGGGATGCTTACTCCACCATGGCACCTGATCACAACTCTGATACTTTCCGGGCCCATATTTGCTTTGCTTGAGCTCACAATTTGTTTTGATCATGATTACTGTTCATTTTCTTCACATTTCACTTGATCGTTTGGTTTTTTGTTAAGGTATAATTTAACATTGCCATAATAATTCATCAGATCACTTGTTTATTCTAGCAGTTATAGTCCAGTTCAGAATAAGGAAAATAAATATCTTTAACAATTTGAATACAAAACAGTTGTAGATTAAACAGCAATGTTTCATATAACTTGATTATAAGCTTTAAGTTATGTCCTTTTAGTTGAAATTTTGTTTCTTTCATGATTTTTACAGTAGTCTGAAAAACTGCACCTACCTTCAGTTTTCATGAGACATAGGGTATTATAGATTGGATCGTCTATATATATGCACATGGGTTTGGGTACATTGGTTCCTGACCCATTTTGTGTTTCTGTTACCTTCTTCGCTACAACGTTAAAATGTAAAAAAAAAATAATAATAATAATAAATCTCATTTGAACCTTAGAAAAAAACCACGACTGATATTTTCATTTTAAATTCGTTTCAAAGATGGATTTTTCCGTGTTATACAAATTTCAGTTGAACAATAATCTCATCAAAACTTTGTTTAACTTTGACTTTTAACGAATCTAAGCAATTTTAAACATAAAACAAAACCAATAAATCACTCACGTTTTACAAGTGGAGAAGGCGTCGTATGAACTTGAGAACAAAATAAAATATATAATTATTATCAAACAAAAGCAATGTCTGATACACAGCAACATAATTAATTTATTTTGCTTAACGCACAGTGGTATGTTTTTTATTTTGTTTTGTTTTTGTTCTGTTTTTTTTTTTTTTTTTTTTTTGTGAAATCAATTATTTTCGTAGGGAAAAAGGAGTATTTTTGTTGTTCCTTGGTTAATTAACGTTCCTCGGTGTCATTGTTGCAGAGAATTTTGAAAAAAAAATCTTTTGATTTCTGTATCTTCATTGAAATATTGCTAATCCCCAAAAAGAAAACATTTGCTTTTAAACATCATATCTGAAGTTTTAACACTTAATTTTAATACATACCTACTTCAAATTCCAAATTAAGTTATCACTGCAAATGAATCTTATGGACAAATGAAACTGTGTGCTGAGTTGAATGATAAAATCTAACAGGAACCCAAATAAAAATGTTGCATTTAAAGCCCTTTTGAGAAACATTGTCTGCATGTATACTTCTAATATAAATTTCGTTATGGAATGTCCAAGTAGCAAGGTTCTTCTATTCACTCATTTCAAATGCTTCTTAAAGTATGGGATTCAACATTAAAACATAACTTTTAAATAACCATATCAACTGAAAGTTGCGTTCTCTGGCCTGAAAGCATTAATGACCAAATTAACCGAAGTTTTATTACTTTTTTGTCACTGACTCACTTTCTTTTGTTCTTGTAACTCCTGGATTAAATGTAGAGAAAACACTTGAACCTGGAAGAAATATTCTTATATTTTAATCAATAGACAAAGAAAAAAACAACACAATACGAGAGAATAATTAAATTTCTATTCTGTTTTGAAAGCATTGAAATAAAATCCCGGTCCCTACAATGGAGTTCTTTCGAGACATTTTTTTAAACAATCTCACCTTCTTTCGATCTTGGAAATTGTGGATGAAATGTAGAAAAGGCACCGGAACCTGAAATTCAAAACTGATATTTTATTCCATATTGTCTTAAGTCTTTTTAAATGTAATAATAAGTGCCTATTTGAAAACTTCTTCATTTCAAAATTTTCGTTTTATGTAAAAGTCATGCACGCCATTCTCAACGTGATTTTTAGACTTGCTACCTTTATACAATTTTGACTTACTCTTCATTATTCAAGAAACCGAAATAACCAAATCCTGACACAGAAAATTGATCATTCTAATAACTTAAAAAAGATCACAAAAACTATTTTTTTTTTCAAATGATTACAGAATAACTGCAAAAAACAAAAAGATGTGCTAGATGTAGCAGTACAACGTAATGACTAAGAAACCAAACCAAGTACAGATTGTTAAAAAGACTGAAAAAAGATTTTTAATTCTTTATAAAATTATTTGAAGATTCCTTTTATAATAGTTAAAATGTAAGATAAAATTCCCCTTGGTCCATCGCTTGTGAATTAATTATAATTAATTAGATTAATTTCATCATGACATACATGTCTTCTTCATTTCTGTGGTTACTCCTTTCTAATTTATGTTCTTGATGTTTTAATCCTCATGTCTTTAAGTAAAAAGTAGGAATAAATTACCTCTTGGTGATGGAGTAAATGCTGCTGAAGTTTGAAGTTTTCTAACTAAAATATGATTTAAAGAATATTCAGCAAGACTTAAAACGCCATGTTTGTAGTGTATGTGTAAAAGAGTAATACAAAATAAACGAAAAACCACATACCTGGTCCAACTGGGGATCTAAATGATCCTGGAACGGAAATGATTTCATATAATGTTCTTTAAAGTGTAAAATCCGTATGCTTTTCTATAAACTCAGAATTAAAGTTAGACAATGGATATTTATACTGATTATACAGAGGCATTCGCTGTGTTTCACCACATGTCCGATATCTGTCTTACTTAATTTATCTTCATTTTTAAAAGCAATGTTTACCATTTAAGATTCTGATCAATTGATATAATTCAAAATTTTACCTCCTCTTCGCAAGCTATGGAATTGAGGATCAAACGTTGAGATGGCACTTTGACCTAGAAGAAATGTGTTTATTTAATAATGAATTTACCTGGACATAGAACAAACATGATTTATGTTACATAGATACATACTACCATGTGACGTTTCTGTGCGAATCCCATTGCCAACACCTTAAAGGTTGATATAAAAATAAATATATGAATTTAATAAATAGTGGTTATTTGATGTTAATATAATGTACAATCAATTGGAATAAAGCTTAAAATGCCAATGAATAATTGAATTTTCTACAGTTATTTTGTTCATACACACAAATGTTAAGTTATTGAAAAGATGTAATATTTATGATTATATAAATGGTTACTTTTCACACAGATTTATCAAGTATATTCAGTTCTCACTCACTGGTAATATCAGGTTGTGTAAACACTTTATTGGTTTTCCCTAAAATCAAATGGATAGTATTTGTGGCAACAATTCTATTTTGTAAAGTAAAAAAATAAATGAAATTAAATCTTTAAAAAAACAACAAATATTCTATTCATACCAAAATATCCATTGTTCAATAATGATTCTTGATTAGGAACTGCGAAAAATTAAAAAAGAAAAATAAACATTAAAAAAAACATGTAGAATTAAAATCCACATTTTAAAAATAAAAAACAATTGATGCTATTTTATCATTTTAATTATAGCATGTATATTCAAACTAAAATTTAACTTTCAGTTTTGGGGTACACAGGTTTTATATTTATTGTAAACTCTGTATTATTCGAAAGATCACTGACACACCTGAAGCATTGAAAAAGGCTAATTGTATTCGGCGCGTCGGCGCGCTCGCGCAACAGATTTTGTTTATAAAATAAATTATCGCTTATATAATTTTGTTAGCATCGGGCTCGATATCATAAATAACAAGAAAGTTTCATAGAAGATGGAATTATGTTTTTGAAGCTTCAACATAATTATTTAACTGCCTGTGGTTTCTTTTATTCATGGCCACTAATGAATACACTGGTTTTATCAATTTTCATTGCCATCAATTTTTGTGCAATCAGCGAATGACTCGGTATTTCGTGAACACAGGTCATCATAAAACTTTATGATATGCTTCTTACTTTAATGACCATCAAATTCTATTTTAATTTTCACTCTGCAAAACACAAAACCATAAAAATTAATGTTTAAGGAATGTTGATGGAACCATTGTACATGTATTTTATATGATTGGATTTTTAATGAGATAAGTGGTCGAGAAGACTACAGTATGGGGAGGCAGGACTTTATGATCTGTAGTGCAAATGATCTGTTTAGCTTTACAGGCCAGCCATTTCTGTATCTTATGTTACTCCCCCCTCCTCAAATAAACACAAGTTAATTTTTAGTAGTAGTATTATTTTAATACGTAACAAGGAATCTTTGTCAAACACTGACAGCAATGTATGGCAGCTTATTGCCATGAAAATCAAGTCTCTTAAAAGGAGGTTAAGCTCTAGAGTCTAGGGCATTACGTAATAGCTGTAAATTTTTGTTATACATAAAGAAAATTTATAAAAACAAAATGCTTAAGTTAATGTTTGGAGATATATATATATAGAGAGAGAGAGGGGGGGGGGGAGAGAGAGAAATCGAAAGTAGGCCAACTAAAAAAATTGGGGTAAATTTTGGATTACTCTAGCTCTAGCGGAAATTGTGGTAAGGCGTGCATGGATCAAAGGGGATCCGGATCCCTGGAAAATTCAAATACATTTAAACTGACATGGTAAAATTACTAAAGCAATGCATCGGACCTCTTCCCCTTGCGATTTGGGCCAACACCTCCTAGGGAAAAATTTCTGGATCCACCCAACAAAAAATTACAATCGGGCTCGGGCTGTCGACTTGTATATAAGCAATAATGCTTAAATACATGTAATAAAGAAAATCGATGTCATTTGAATGTTTTAATGCAGGGAGAAATACTTTTGTGATATTGGGATTAGATGGACGCGCTGGCGCGCCGAATACAAATAGCCTTGAAAAATTACCTTTAAAAATCTTATATGATAGAAGGCAATATAATGAAATATATGGAGATAACGAACGATATTCAAGCTCAAAAGTCCATTATACAATACAAAATAGGAGCAGAGCAAACAAGGACCTCCAAACATCAGAGGTGGGATCAGGTGCCATGGAGGAGTGAACTAAATTAACTAATGAACGAAATGAACTAAACTAGCGAACTAAATTTATTTAACTTACTTCTTCGATCAACGTTGAATGATGTTTGTGAGAATGTATGTTGTATAGGCTGTCTCTGACCTATTATCAATAGAAAATCATAAATATTATTAATAAACTAAATTAACTAAAATAATGACATAGCATTAATAACAGTTAAATAATATTCTCCTTATACATTTAGTCTCTGTTACTTACTATTGGTAATCTTAATTCAATTGGCAGTAATGTTAATGTTTCTGAATGTATTTTCAATTGCATAGTTTTGATTGTAGAAGATTCTTGAAACTGAGGTCAAATTTGATTCATCATCAGCATTAAACTTTCAGCATAATTATATATTTATTACCTACCGAAAACTCGTGATTCAGATGGTAGACGTCGATTGTTCACTAATTTTGAAATGAAAGTAATTTGATTACTTTAAAAATATATTCGAAAATACAAAGAAAACTCATCGTCCGTAATACTGAATGATGACGTAAACTTATATTAATATCCTCTTTGTACTTGAACAACAATTACAAAAAAAAAGTTTCTTAAAAGCTCCCTAATAGTTTTGAATTTAGTATTTTTAGATAAGCAATACACTTACTCATGGAATCCATGTTACTTATTGTTTCAGACATTGCTGTTTGTACAGACTGCATCGGATCTATAAACAAAGACAGGTTTTAATCCAGAATAAACTTTATTTCTTTATCTGTATATCATTATACATAACTCTCAAATAACTTTTCAAAATCAGTGGGCGGGTTAAATACAATGTTAAATGAATTTTTCCTCAGTTCTGCTTTTAAGAAAATGTTGAAACTGTATAACTACTATAAGAGCAAATACAAAATCATTTTCAATTTTCCATTGTTATTTTTTTCTTTGAATAGAAATGTATAAATATGAATATACTAATATTTAAAAGGACATGGCTATACACTTCAATCGCGCTTCATACCAAAGACGCTGGATTGGGGTATCATTTGTTTATTCCTGGTGCCTGAAAAAAGAAATAATAATAAAAGAATAAGTAATTTAACAGAATCTGAATTTTTATATACAAAAAACCGCTCTATTACTTTTTAAAATATGTTTTCCTTTAATTTACCATCCAAGTAAACAAAATGTAAACTACTCATTACACCAAGATCTTTTATTTATTTGATGCTATTTGAAGAGGATGGCGAACAAATTGTTGTTTACACAAGTATATATTACTAATTAATAGATCTTCAATTATACTTGAAATTTTCATGCTGCATAGATATTCTTATGCCAAAAATGACTGTTATGAAATTTTTCAGCATTTTATATATTCGATTCATCTGTTGAAAAAAAAAATTAAAACAAATTGTTTAATTGCATTAGCATACAGTACGTAGGGTTAATAATTAATAAGTTTTTCTCACTCTTCAAATTAAATTATAATTAAGGTGCACAAAAACGATTGTGCAATTCGATAGATATTTTCATAATACATAGAATATTGTACTTTAAACACCATTTCCAATTCAAAGCGAAACAGTTTAAAACAAACTACCGTATACTCATTAATTACAATGCGTAATGTAGATCTTTAAGATAAATAATTCCATAAAATGGATATATTTAATTTTTAATTATGTAATCGGATTAATTAACGTACTTGTAACCATAATTTAAGCAATTTTATTCAATTTCAATGTACTGTGAATGTGTTCAAAACGGAATTGTTAGGTCTTTTATACATCATAATAAGAGAAAATTATATATATATACTTACTTAAGATGTTACTGCCGACTGTCTTCGTCATCGCCCGATTCACTGCTTTAACAGGGTCTACAGCAGATGTTTAAAAGAATCGTTGGCGAATAAACAATGTAATAAACATTTATTGGTACAATAAATTGTTTTATATGCAAAATGTGTGTATTACCAATAACTTATGTAATTTATTACATGTATTTAATTGTTATCCTTTTGGGTGCCCCTTGCACTTACGACTTGATTTTTAGGGTATTGACCAATCAGATGAGGTTATGCATATCACGTGGTTTATTCACTCTAGCCCTTTTCAATCGGAGAAGAAGCCACGGAATTTTCCAACAACCATCTCTTCCCCTCCACCGCCCTTTTGTGTAATACTTGCAATCTACCTCATTTAACTTGTATGTTTTTGATTATGAAAAATGTATAGATTTGATGTTTGTTATTATTTGTATGTTTTAACATTTATGTTCTTTTGTGCACTGGCTTTTTTGTGCACAACCTTTTTGCTTCTTAAGTGTTTTTTACCAATTACAGTGGCGCCTCGTTTATCCGGACGCCTCTGTCCCCAAGGAAATCATCCGGATAAATGAATCATCCGGATAATTGAATCACATCTCAAAAAGCACTCTCTAAGCATGTATATATGCACAGTCTTGTTTCAAATGTGACAGCAAAGAAAAAACTTTTAAATTATATTTTGGTTAATTGTTTTTAAAGCAATAATTGATTAATGAAAAAATATATTAAAATGTAATTTACACAATAAAAAAAAATGGATGGGCAATTTTATGCCGAGACCTCCTTTTTTAATTCGCCTTCTCTTTGGCATGTGACTTCATGGGTTGAGCAAATTTTGATCTACTGTTGTTTAATTTCGCCATATATTATAATTATTGAAGCTCATATGATATGACAGAACTGTTCAGCAATGTTAAACTATAAATATAAACTAACCCTGTATATTCCCCGTATATTCATTACACAGGGTTACTATAAAATTAACTGAACACTGCAAACTAACTCAAACAAAGTATTAAAAACGTTCGTAAACAAAAGCCATCTTCATGATTATCAATATTATTTTTTCTACAGACGCTAGGTTTGAATTTCGATCATTAAAAAATACCTTGAAAAACGTTACTAATCAACTTCTAATCAACGCCAGTTTTATATGTAATGGATATTTGTAAACGGTAGTACATTAGATAGAGATATTTCTTCAATTATGTACCTTTCTATACTGTCTTGTGGGGGAAAAAGCGTTTCAAATACATTTACGTTTTTTAGAAATGGAACATCGTATTTTAAACTAACGCAATCGACATTATAAAGAGCATTACGACATCGCTCGTTATTTATTGTTCATTTTATTTACAACTCTTCAAAATTCTCCTGAATTTACCAATGTATATACGGTTAGCAATATGATTTTGAACGGATTATTATTTAATTAATGCACAGTGCCAGCTAAATTCTTTGAGCTTCATAATAAAGATAAACGTGGGGTAAACACACGCTAATTATAGACGCTATTGTTTGTAGGTCACAGGTAACCGCCTTCAAACTGACTGCATGGCCAATGTTTTTACAACAATTAACACCAATTAATGCAAGATAAGTGTGAAAATGTCGTTTCTTGAAAAATTACCGTCCGGATAAACGAGTCATTTTTTGAATGAACTTTTATGTTTTGTAGTAGAAATAGACCGTCCGGATACGGAACGCGATTTTCCAGATTAATGAGACAAAATAACGTGGAAAAAATCGGTTCCCAAAAAATATCATCCGGATGGTGAAGCATCCGGATAAATGGCGTCCGGATAAACGCGGCTCCATTGTATACTATTGGCTGGGCAATTTTTTTGTCATGTGATTAGTAAGAATTATGCCATGTGACTAGTCAGCATGTTTAACTAGTCAATTGGTCATGTGACTAGTCAGCTTGTTTATCTGTACTATATATTTTGTTTTAAGCCCAGTAAATTAATTGTGATATAAGTCTGTGTAATATTTAAATGTAGTTTGGGTCATTTGTTAGTTTCAATAAATGGCATTTTCACTCAATGTTTCTTTCTTAATACTGTATATAAGAGGTTAAGCAAAAACAAGCTGCGAATAGCCAGAATTGTCTCCTCTCACTACAGGGAAAATTTGTGGATATAAATATACTTTTGGTAACTGACCCAGGACTCAAATATCAAACGCAATAAAATGTTGTCTTGTCCAGACCATTAATTGAATTTTTAAGAAAAATATATTTTTGATTTGAAAATATTTCAACATATGTCTTCAGTTTTAAATATTTGAATTTCGTCGAAATTCATGCTGGTTATTAATGAGAGATAGTAACGATAACGTATAATCTTAATATTCATCGATTTTGAAGAGTATTTTACCTAGAAATCCTTGATCAACAGACACCCCTCCTTTTGAAAATTCCTCTGAAAAGAAAATAATATGCATATGAAAATTTTGTAATTTCTTAAGTCAATTTTATTTTAAAGAACAAATGAGTTTTATTAAATTTCATTGTTATTAAAATATTTCTGAATATTAACTAATATTATTTTACAGTGTGTATGTGATAAAACTTTGAATGACATTGGATCATCGACAGCTCTAGACTTTTAAACTTCAAAAGAAATTTAAAAAAATATATAACTCTCTTTTGCTCATACCTTGACACATTTTGCTCATACCTTGACACACAAATAAGTGCGCTATAATAAGGAGCAATGAGAAAATGAAGAATGGTAAATCTTAAAATGATATGACGCTTAGTTAAAAGATGGGGTAAGATTTTTCATGAATCAAAGCTGGATAGGAGAGTTCATATATGTCCTCATAGAATAAAAATACAGAACATACCTACTCTGGATTCGGTGTGAACTTGACCCGATGGATCCTTGTACGTTTTCACTGTAGATATCCAAAGGAATAAAATACGATTGTTACATTCAGTTGTAGCATGGAAACAATTTGATATTCAAAAAATTCCACAATCCGCTGTTGACTCCTAGCTTAAAATTGAGCACACCTCATGAGATCGAATGTTGTCAATGTAAAAGCTGTATTTAATGACCAAATCTGCCTTTTTAACGTCTCTAAACAAACATTACTGGGTTTGTAATTCCAAATATAACGTACATATATTTTTAATAAAAATAATTACCAGTAAAAATCTTCCCAAGTAATTCGGATCCAGTTGATTCTAAAAGGAAAGTCATTATAGACTGAAATATTATATATTGCAAGAAGACCATTATGGCTTAAACCTAAGATTTTAAATAAAGCTTGAAATATCTCGTACTTAAACTGATCGATGAATGTTATAATTTTTTTTCCACATACTTTGCAAATTGAGTCATAATCTAAATGTTCAAATTTCTGCAAATCCAAGAAATATTTTAGTGTATTTTATATTTTTGATTGATTGCATGTTGTGTAACGTCCCATTCGAGATTTTTTTCTCATATAAAGACACCACCAGCTTCAGGTGAAGTGCCTCAAATTTTGACCTATGCAAGAGCAGTAAAGGTTTTGTATCTTGCCAATACCTATTATTACCTAACCTACTATATAAATTGTAATTAGGCATTTTGAACTGTTTCCTGATTCTTTTTAATGTTTTTGCAAATCATGAAACAGTCAAAACTGTTTACCCGGTCACAGAATGAACTGTTGCATGGCTGAACTGTTCCATTATGACGTCATAGTTAATTTCCCGTACTTTACAGCTATAATATTGAATTATATATAAATTGAAGCATTTTTATTCAATTTGAAATTATCATCTGAAAAGTAAACCTGATACCAATTTAAATATATATTCAATTTAATATCATTCAAAGAAGAGGCCATGAACACCTTTTCTGAGGGTAGTTTGGGGAAAATGTAGGCCCCTTTCATTCAGTATAGATCTTTGCCATAAACGTGCAATATTCAAATTTTTAAGACATCATTATGTTGTTTACTACATGTTTTTTTTTCCATTTATTAGTGCATGATAATATCACACCCATTAGTTTTTCTGATTTTACACCAATCGGTGTGAATATTTGATTAATATTCAACTTGTTTAGTTTGGTTTTAAAAAATAATACAAACTTTTGTCAATGTATTTTAAAAGCCATTGATTATTATGTCGATATCATTACTTTAAGAAATTATATAGTAGGTTAGGTAATAAAACACTTATTTCATGACAACTCGGGAAACAGTCAAACTGTTGTCCCTCGATAATGGGGAAGACCTGGGAAACTGTTGCCCTCGGCCTTCGGCCTCGGGCAACAGTTTCCCAGGTCTTCCCCATTACCTCGGGACAACAGTTTGACTGTTCCCCTCGTAGTCATGAAATAAGTGTATACTGTTACATGGGACATCCATAATTTAAATGGGATTGGACACAGGTTTCAAGTTAATATTTTCTAAAATTTTCGGTATTATATCATGACTTACATGTTGCTAAAGCATTTCGGACAGATAAATTATAAAAGCATTTTAGGAATTTCTTTTATCTGAAAATTATTAAAACTACAAATTTTAAGTCGCGTTTGATTGACACACATCCTTGCACTTTTACGAAGCAAAATTTGACCTCAATATTTAAGAAAGATAGAAAATTTTTCGTGTATTAATGAAAAAGATTTCAACCATAATCAAGAAAAACTAGAAACACCAATGTTGTCAGTTCGTGTGGAGTGATGTGAGCAGAGTTAACAAACTGAACAAACCCGGTAAAACGTAACAATAAGCTCGTGCTCATGTTTACATAGATGTTTGACGTAATGTTATGAAAAATATCGATCGTTGTCATTGAATTTTAAAAATTTTCATGTAAGTTCAATTTATTAAACTTAATTCTACCATCTGCGATTCCTGGTCTCGAACCCAGAGCCCAAACACTAGGCTATTGCGACCAGAAGCATGAACATCATTGTATTGCTACCGATCATTAAAGAAAAAATATGTGAAAGTTCGAATAAATTGTGTTGACATTTCACATACCTAGAATGCAGTTACATGTAGGTTAACTATAATAATTATTTGACTATCTGGAGATAAACATCCCTTAGAACTACTTATATTTATAAGGATAATAATTTGTTAAACAGTATATAAAGTGTAGAATAAAACATAAATTAATTCTTGCACATATTTCCTAATTATGCATAAAAGGTAATAAATTTTACCTGTTTGAAAGGACTGCATCACATCCCCAGATGTACCTTTAGAATTTACAAAAGATTAATTAAAAAAAATTAAGTCATATTTAATATATGCAAATATTTTTGTATATATATAAATCTGTAAAAGTTTTAGTTTCTGTACATGTACTTGTTAATATAAACATAAATATTTTATTAAGATAATACGGTATTCTTATGAAGTTGTTATTATGTCTTTTGGAGAGTTTGATTTCTGCTTATGATCGATCTGCCCATTGATTAGAGAAACCATCACTACATGTACTACTAATGTTTTATCAAATTTACGATTAATATTAAAATTTCCGTGTACTGATGCAAAGTTGAAAAAATATTATTCCCGTGTTTCAGGTTTTGTTTTATTTTTCAAAAGTTGTCTTCGAAAAACAGTAGTTTACATCTGTTTCAATCATATCATGCCTTTATGCAGATCAAAGGCCTAAGATTAAAGGCCTAATTTTCTTTTCCAATTTATCCGCAAGTTAAGTTGTACTCTTTAAAACAGACTTAATTATCCCTCAATGTGTCTGTTCTGTGTACACACTGGAATATTTGACTTTTGTTTTCATCTACCACATTATTAACATAGGTTGACTTGAACATTACACAATAATTTATTGTCACCTAAGACTTCCCACACAGAACGTCTAATGGTATTACAAAAAAATCATTCATTACACAAAAGGTGAAGTTAGTTTTCCATTGAAATAAATAATGACAAACATATGAATGATAAGTCAATCTTAGGGGTTAAATTTTTAGTATACATTTTATTTAGGGTCTGTAAGGAAAATGTTCTCAGGCTTCTTTGAAAACTGCTATCTTGTTCTACTCTACTGATGCCTGTTGTAGTTTTCAAGCAATCTTTTTTGGAAACTGTTAGTGGAGATTCAGATAGTCTTTAACAATTTTTTGCTTTACGTAGTGTGAAATATTAATTGACATATTGCATAATACTGTGCTAATATCTTCGTGGTTATTGTTAATTTTAGTATTTGTGTGACTGATAAAAGCACACGCCCTTTTTTTCTTTTAGATTCTGCAACATATTGTCAGCTTAAAACATACGTGACAAAAATGACAAAGTTTACGAAGTAAAAGAGGGCCTTTTCTCCATGATCAATATAAATCAAGTTTGGGAATCGAGTGAAACAAAACAATCTATTGTCATCACAAAGACTTAAGATTTAAGGTGATTTTTCATCAAATTATTTTGGAAATGATTTTCTGTGACTAGTTGAAGCAATGATGAACTTCGATATTAATAAAGTCTAAGTAGATTACCTTCAATAAAAGCTGAAACACAGACATTTTCCTTTCTCTTAGGTTTTATCTACATGCAAGACAGACTATATACGATTCACGTACATCATCTGCATTTCTACATGTAGCTAAATTAAAATATCAAACTATGCTTTTATTTTTCTCTGTTATTTTTACCAGAATTAAAACGTTTTACATGAGGATTGAGATACAATAATTCAATATTTGAAAAAAAATTCAATTTCAATTTAAACTTTTAAAAGATTGACATTTAAATACCATATATTTTCTGTCATAAAAACACGCAGTTCTTTTTATTATTATTATTATTTTAAAATCAATTAAACATAAAGGGTTTTTTTTTGGGGGGGGGGGGGTACTTCTACACATTTATAAAGATTCTGTTACTCTGAAGAGATTTGATCGATTATTTGATACAGATAAATTGATACAGTATTGAGATTATTTTTATGCATTTTTTCCATTTATTTTTGTAAAATACTTACCCAAGTTAAAATTTCCAATCATCCATTTTCCTGTAAATAATAATCAAAATTATAATAGGAAAAATTCTTTGTAAAATACATATCAATATTTAAAAAAAAAAAAGAAAAAAAAAAAAGAAAAAAAAAAGAGAAATCTATATTCAAGTTCAATTTATTCACTCAAAGCATTATATTGATACAAGAGGAACAATATCAATAACATACATGTACATACATATATACAGGTATTGTTCTGTTTTTTTCTCTTGTTAAATAAGTATAATTACTATTTATTACGTTTTCTGGAAATAATCTCATTAACATGTCTGTAGCATTTGTCTTTTTGTGTCCTTTATATACAAAGTAAATGTATATTCCACCTGGTTTAGAATATTTATTTTAGTGTCATTTGCATACGTGAAAAGATTTATGGAATATATATAGTTTAAAATATTTTCTAAAAACAATGGCTTTGGTTGGAACACACTTGTCTTTGCATAATTGTGACATACGATTATCATATTATAATCAGCTACATGTATACATATTATGCCAAACGTCTTGACAAAGATGTATAATTCTTAACGAAGAATTTGATGTGAGGTTTAGAGGCGTAGTGAAACACAGATACTAGGACCGTACATATTAACATAATATATACATTCCTTATCATTTTGACCCAAATGTTTATTGTATAAAGTACCCTTCCCTAACACCATTATTAGAACATGCCTTTAAGAAGAAATTTGACCCATGCTCCCATTTTTTATCTTTCGAGCCCCTATAATAAACTAGATACTACTTCATTAAAATCATCCTCTTTCTCATACAGCCTAACTCATTCAGTCAGTACAAAGACTTCGAGCACAACTTTCTACAATGTCAGTAACCCTAAACTAAGGGGAAAAATAATTAAGTACAAAAATAACTTGCTTTTTTGTCACTGTGTTACTTAGGTAATCATTTGCTATCTGTCTTCCTTCTTTATCGTTTGCCATCGTTCGCTGCTCCTCATTACGTTTTTTTAAATAAAAACTACACGTACAAAATCCACATTGTTACGTTGATTTATAATCATACACATCATATATATATATATATATATATATATATATATATATATATATATATATATATATATATATATATATATATATATATATATATAAATTTATTGTTCTTATCATTTTTTTTTTGTTTACCGGTAGTCTCTCAAAAATTCATTGGAAACCAGCTTTGCTTAAAAGTCGGATGTTCGTATGCAAGTAAAGCTACTGAAGTATTTTTACTTTCTAGTAAGATGTATTCTTCGTTGTAATGATTACATGGCTGCATGTTGTTTTAAATATTGTTTTTGTATGAAGCCAATCTCTTAGTCAGGTATCTAACATCTACATGTACATACAGAAAATACTTCTGAAACCTTTTACAAAATTACTGTATCGCAACTTTTTATATAATTTTTGATACTTGTAGTAAGTTTTATGTAGGAAATAACAAATGGTGTATGTGTCCTGTCGTAAATTTTAAATTTATCTTTATCTTTTGACATAAAATACAAATTTTAATATGCTTAAAAAACAAATTGAAGAAATGCGTTGATATTTGCTGGTGTGTACCATTGTTATAGAAAACCGATCCGACCAGGAATAATTTGTCATGCAGGTTTACACTTTTATTCAAGAATTACCTTCACCAATTCTACAAAATTTGTGTTAATAGGGTTTAAGACATATAGGAAGAAGTATTAGCCATTAACCATATATATATATATATATATATATATATATATATATATATATATATATATATATATATATATATATATATATTGCAGACCATGCTCTTGGTGAAATACAACCTATGTATCACATGTTAAGTAATGCTAAATCATTATACTTGTGTAATGAATGAGATGCCCTGATATATTTTTCCCATTATTTGACTTTTAGTAGATTCATAAACGTTCACAAACAAGTCCTTACTCTTTTGACGCCCTGTCATGGGAATGATTTTGGTATTATTTTCCAAATTATTAAAGAGATTTTTCTTAAACAAAGTTAAATGTTAATAGGTTTAGAAATTTTAAAAATACATAGTTGAATTTATAAGTTATTAACATTTAGGATCACTGCAGACATTTCGTTTTTAAACTCATTGCAGGTTTTAATGTCATAAATCTCTGTATTACAAAAATGTACACAGTAATAGATAAGCTTGAACAATTGTCTTACCTTCCAATGGTATTAACTGGGTATAAGCTTGATAGAGAATTAGATAGAACACTAAGAATAAATAAGAAGAAATCCCCTTCATCATTCTGAGTATAAAAACAGTCAAGTGCAGATATCAAAAGTACATCTGCTGATAAATGTTAAAACTGACAAACTCCAAGCTCGATCGTCTATGTGTAAAATCCAATGAAGGTTCTCCGGTCTTAATATTAATTCAGTACACTGATATGGTAATTAATTTAAGACAGAAATTAACATCCACCTATAAAATGAATGTCAAATTATCAGATGAAGGTTATTTATGACAAAAGAAGACTGTCTATTTTTTTAAGACAATTTTATATATATTCAATGAACATATTTTTCTAATCATAAGCTTCAGGCAATTTGCAAATGCACTGAATATATCTTTCACATTTCGGATAATTAGTTTGATTATGAAACAAAACAACCATTATAATTAATTAAATGAAGACGCCAATGTTATGTAATGAAGGGATCAAATGACAGGGGAAATTAGGTCTTCAGAGTGTTTACTACTAAAGACGATCCCAAGGAGGCTAACATAATCAATGTTGCCCGTAAACACAGTCAATAATTGTTTTGTTATATGAAAAATCAAATCATTAAAATAGTTTTTTGTTTTACATAAATTATCTGCATCTTGAGTGTAGATCTAGTGTTAGCAAATCTTTCCTTGATTATGTTACTTGGTTTTTCTATTGTGACGTTATATTTTTTGGAAGTCGCAACAGTATCATTACGTCACAATAAATCAATCTTCCTATCTTCTTATCAGCATCCAAATCAATAAAAATGTGGGAAAACTCTCTTTGTCGGCCAATAGTTCAAATTAAATGAACGGTCAATATTTTTCGGAGGAGCTAATATCAATTACGTTGACTGATTCTCTATAATTATGGAAAATATAGGGACGATTCTTTAATGAATATAACAAACATAATAATTAGGGTGAGTTAACCATACATCGGACACATACCTTGCTTCGGACAACTTTAAGCAATAAACTTTCATTGAACCTGAGTCTCCCCGTGTTTTTACTCCTTTCTGTCTTAAAGATGAAGAATTGAACTTTTTAATGATGTCGATTTTTTTTCATGTTGTGATAAAAAATACCACAAGAATGGCCTTGAAATTACGTCATATTTTGCATCATCAAAGGGGAGTAACCAGAAATTTACGATTTTGCAATTTTTAGAGTTGTCGTTTTTTTAAGTAGAACGTCAACGGAACGGGTCGGACCTTTTCAAAAATTTTACTTCAATGTTTGTATAATATATTTTAGAGTTGTTTTTAACTAGTATGTTTATTTCACCGTACATCGGACACAAATTAACCATGCATCGGACACTTTCCGATGCATGGGTAATCACTTCCATGTTCATGTAAAACCCAAATGACGGATGTTTTTTACGGAAAATAGAAACTCTGTATTTTCAGTGAAAATACAAATTATCGATATATGACGACTAGAATTGGACTCAATTTATTTCTTTAAACTAGATGATTATAGCCCACGAGACAAAGGCGCGAGTTGCCATATTACTAGCATTGTAAAGCCTTTCTAAGGCGATGTGATACAACTAAAATCTCTTCATATTTGTGGATCGAAATAGTCATTCAAATTTAATTAGAAGGTTAATTTTTAAGTAAAAGATAAAAATGTTTCGATATCATTAATTTTAAAGCACCGAGATCAAGGTATGATATTTTTCTGGTTTAAATATCGTATGTCCGATGCATGGTGAATATTGTCCGATCCATGGTGAATTCTGACTTATTTCGAAAAAATCGGTTTTTAATGATATTTTCTCAATAAATAGGGCACGATTGTGTCAAAAATTTATATTGTAACCACATACTACATGTAAAGTTCCATTTTGATAATATTCGGTCGGTAGCGATATCGCTTGAACTTGTTGAAGTGCAAGGGTGTCCGATGCATGGTGAATTCACCCTATATATTACTCGTTAAAATCATTTGATTCTCATAATCATTATAATCCTTATATATTTTATAATTCTTAGGCCAAAGTAAAAAGAAATGCTTACTCCTTACGCTTATTTTTAAATCATGTGGACTGAAAAGGTTCCAGCTTCATCCAAATCCGTTTTTTATCAGAACGGTTTTTTTATTTCAATGATTTTCAAGCGTTTATTGGAAACAAAATGGCGGACACATCGTGGTTTTCTCTAGAAATGAAGTTCGTATTGTAAAACAAAAATATTCTATCATTAACTTAGACAATACTCATTGAAACATTTGGTTAATTAAAAATCAAAGACAAATTAATTTTTTCGGCGGTATTTATAGCATATCTCTTTTTTGAGTTTAGGCACATACAATGTAGTAAGACCTGCCTTACCTTCTGTACGCATCACTGATCGCGGTAGTCTAGTAGCGCTTTGTGGTCCGGGGTACTGGCTTCGATTCTCGTTCCCGGTGCCGCGTCAAATTGAGACCTATAACATAGGTATTCTTTTGCCAATCATCCGACACGGGTCTAAAATTCGTAGGTCCTGTGCCACTAAGCGTTTGCACGATTAAGAACCTCACTGCTCGATAGCCCTTTAACCTTTTTTTTGGTGACTTCTCATATGAGCGAAAAATTCAGTCAAGGGACGTTAAACAACAAACAGTAATCTCATGAAAAATTTTGACCTCATGCACTCGGGAGCGATGACGTAATTGAAATTAAATGACCACAACATGCGGATGTGTATAAGAGAATTGAAAAATCTTTAAGAATTATTTATTTGATGATGAAGGGAGCATTAAGAAAACTATTCATAATATTTTTTCTCGTTTAAGGAGGCTCATTATACCAAATTCGTTTTCCTGTGGAGAAGAATTGTACAAGTTCCCTCTATTAATGATCTAAATCTTTAAAACGATTTTATAAAGGACTACGCTTGCGAACACATAAACAACGAACACAAAGTAACTGATTCATCATGAATCACAAGTTAAGCTTTTTCAAAAAGCTTTGCCGTCTTTAGCAACAACCTTAAACAGTAAAATGACATACGCTTACCAGGCCGTATTATTCTTGGGTACTGAAGTTCTTGGCTTTATGCATCTTCAACAACTTTTTTTACAGACATTATCCCTACCAAATGAACCAGCACCTACTGCGAAACGGGACCTCGGTTTATTCGGTCTCATCCGAAGGACCGGTCTCCATGTCCCACAGTGGGATTCAATCCCGCGACGTAAGGATCAACTCCTTACTCCGCCACTCTAGAGCGAACGCTCTAACCACTGCGCCACGCGGGCGACTAAAAAAACTTAATAATAGTTGCTATAAAAAGTTAGTCAGTATTTTCTTTTGCTCGTTTTATCGATTTATTAAAGATTAAAAATCTTTAAAAACTGTTAAACCGTACGAAAATTAGATTGTCAGAAAATTGCCTCACTTGCTTTGAAAGCATTTCAACCAATGAAATACTTGAAAATCTTCTCATCATGCATTTTCTACCAATCACAGAAGAGAAGAAGTGCAAATCCGAAGACTGTAAAATACTTCAACTTTGTATTCCATCTTCCATGGGAGACGGTAATAAAATAAAGTGAATTGTCTTTAAGGTATCTCCACCCTTTTGTGATGTCATAGGATTTTGCAAAAACTGTTATTAATTTAAATTCATACCCCATAGAAACATATCTTTTAGAAGAATGCTTTTCAGTGGGTGTACTTACAAATATTGTTTAGTAGAAGAATTAAAAAATTAAATATTTTATTTATTTAATTATTTAATTCAATTATTCAATATTTAAAAATGTTGCTAAGGACAATAACTCCTTCGCATGTATCTATATTCAGGCATTTTCCTTATAATTGTTCTTCTAATGTAAAATGGTTTTTGTGATATTCTCAATTCAAAAATATTTATAAAGAAGCAATTATCTTGGAAATTTCAGCATCACAATTATGTATTTGATCCAGTTTAAATTTTACATTATTTTTTATAATAGTGTTTACTAAAAATGTACCATTTTTTAATGCTGACATATATCTAATTCTTCGATCTGTTTAGTTATGTCTTACAATCTTAAAAAATATGGCAACCTATAGAATTTTGCGATCAATTATTAATTTAAACTATATTCAGTGAAAATAAATGCAGTTTTTCTACTTTGAACCCACAAAATTGTGAGGATGGAAATACCTTAAGCAGTTACCATTGACAGCATATAAGTATGGAGGAAATTCGAGTTGACATCTACAACATTGTTGAAAAAATTTAATGGACTCACGTAATATACAGTACTGTTGTTGATTTTTGAACTTTTCTTTTGTTTTAAAAAAATATACTTTAGAAATTTAAACCGTATTCTGAATTTTATATGTTCAAAAAGTTCCTTAGCGTTTTGAGTCTGGGGGAATTAGGAAACATTACTTTTGCAAGTGGACTTTTTAAACCATTTTTTAAATCGGAATTTTCATTTCGTTAAAACATCTTTTATTCAATTTGTCACTCTTATTCAATGACACAACCATTCATATGCTTATTACAAAGAAAGGCACATTATTTATTTTTAGGAGAAAAAATTTTTTCCTAATAAAAATAATATTGAATATTATGAAGTGTTGTAATTATCTTTAAATGACTTAAGAGGATAGCCATTACTTGACCCTGTAACTTCTGAAATTCTATTAATAAGAAACTTGAAATAAAACATTTAACCAAACTCAGAAAAATACTAGTAATAAAAAAAAATCACAAAAATACCTCTGATATGGTAATCATCATTTGAATATTTGAAATCTACATAATATGTGGTACATGTACTGTAATGAAATAAATGTTGATGTTTGTTTGTTGTTTAACGTCCCTCTCGAGCATTTTTCACTCATATGGAGACGCCACCTCTTGCCGGTGGATAGCTGCAACTTTCGACCTATACTCGGCACTCATAGCCATTGAGCAGTGAGGGATCTTTTTCGTGCCAGCACCTACTGCGAAACGGGACCTCGGTTTATACGGTCTCATCCAAAGGACCGGTCTCCACGTCCCACAGTGGGATTCAAACCCGCGACGTAAGGATTAACTCCTTACTCCGCGCACATAAATCCGACGCTCTACAACTGCGCCACGCGGGCGACTAAATGTTGGTGTAATGAGCCTCCTTAAATACACTAATCAAAGAAAACGAACGACTACAAATTTAAA